CCTAGGAGCTGCATAAATGCCAAAAAAAAAAATCAAAAAACCGTGAAAAATCTGAAATGCTTACCTGCCCCGATGGAGCAGTATCAGCCAGATATTGTGCCAGGTCAAGATTATCGATGGGGTAACGCACTGATCGATCATCTTTTGAACGGCGATGAACTGTTAGGACGGATGTTGTATAGATGAAACGTTTCAGCTGGATGATCAAGATCGGCGGCAGGCGATAGAGAACAAGTTGTTTTGTGGCCTCAACATGCTCTTTACATTTGCCACAATACCTGAAATCAAATAATTGTAACCAAAATAATCATTCGATTTTACGAAACTACCTAACAGAGGCAAAAAAATCAAACTTATATTAATTATAATTAGGAGTGTTAAAAACGGATCATTGGCAAAAACCTGAAAATTTATAAGCAGTGAATTAAAAAAAAAAAAATCAATGATGCACAAAAACATATTTAAAAAAAAAGCACAAAAATATATTCAAAAAAAAAAAACAATCAAATGAACAGGAATATTTCGGCTCATTAAATCGTATATGTTTCTACTCAGCACCATAACTGGGCTTCGTCAGTACGACGGTTGTGGTATTGGTATGTGTGTAAGCGGGAGAAAAAAAAGCAAAAAAATATACAAATTACAAAAATATATTCAAAAAAATAATCAAATGAACAGGGATGTTTCGGTTCATTAAATCGTATATGTTTCTATTCAGCACCATAACTGGACTTCGTCAGCACGACGGATGTGGTGTTGATATGTGTATAAGAGGGTAAAGTAAATTTGTATAAATTCGTGAAATTTTCAACACTTACCACGACTCCTCCGGTTTTAGGCGTTCGGTTTCTGAGAACATCGCGAGCATGTCGTAGAGGGAAGGATTCGAGGCGATGCTACTGGAACTTGCCATTGATGTCGACATTTTTTGATAATGCGCTGTTTTTTCATCATCAGTATCCTGAAAAAAATAGCAACGCAATTCTAAAAACCTAATATCTTTTTGTACAAAAAATAGGGTTTCCCAGGCTGTAAAGATATCTCATTTCGGTATGGGAGCAACAATTTTCGAAATTTTTCGGCCTAGAACAAGCCAAACAAACCGCGAAATGAATAAAGCCCTGTTAATTGCTTTTGTCGAAAGAATCGCTGAGTCATCAATTCACAGACAGGACGAAGAGAGGGCCATGGAAAGCCGAACCAAAATTGCATTAGGGCCCAAGAAGAGGGTGAAATTGTCAAGTGTTTACTTATGGCCATTGGTGGGCCGAACCATACCTGTTGAAATAAAGGCTGAAGTACAGCCAAAGAAAATCCGGAACGGCTGAATTCCTTAAGTTTTAAGGGTGAGACGTGGGTTTTGCTAGTGAACTGTGTTAGGGAGGAGAGATGGGTTGGTACAAACCTTATAACATGCTAAATCGTCATGTACATGTTTTATCCCTTAGCTGTAAACAAAGACCGTGTAAGATGTGGTTAGGCTGCAACCGTCACACTGACGAGGTCCAGTTGCAGCACCGAACAGGAATTTATGCGACTTGATGGACCGAAACATTCCTATTCAGGTTTTTATTTCGATTTATCTTATCCACCTTCCTTTTATTCTCATACTTCTAAACCCTTACTTTTCACATAAACACACATCATCTAAAATTAAAATTACAATAGGGGTAGGAATCATCAGTACAGTCCCTTAATTTCACCACGTGAAAACATAAATTACAAGATATTTAGAAGGTGACAATGAACCCTAAGTTCGCTAGTAAATTAAACACTATCGAGCACTGCAGCATCGATCAAACAACTGTAAAAACTGCCAACCGTACAAATCTTATACTATAAATTTTAAACAATAAATTAACGGCTCTTTTAGATGCTCGATACAAAAGCTTCTTTTATAAGCATGGGAGAGAAGAAGGGACGAGGAAAAGAAAAAACTACAGCCTATGGGAGCAACCCTAAATCGATCCTTGCTTTGGAAAGAACATGGTTAGGATTGTTTTAACTGTTCAGCAAAAAAAAAAAGAAAACGCTTACAAGTTCTTTTTTTGTTTCTACGGTAAGAAAATCTTTGCCGCCTTTCATATTCTGCCAGTTGATTGAGAGGAATGAACCGCTTGGCAAGTCCAAGGTATCTGAAAATTCAAAAACAACCATCATTCGTTTCACTGAATCCTTCTAATGTATTAATATTACAGTCAATCAGAAATCGCACTTAACAGATCGCCGCAATTTCCAAAATTACGTAGTATCGCGACTTTAAAAGTTTGTGGGTTGGACTGCTGTGCATGCCCTATGTGTGTTTGTGTGTGGATGCGTGTGTGTCTGTGTGTGTGGGTGTGTGTCTGTGGTGGAGTGTGTATGT